TAAATCAATCAACATTGTCAAATATCAGTCTAAAATGGGTCAAGCAAGAATGCACTTTACATACAAGAGAAAGAGCAGGGCCTAACATTTAACTGTCAAAATGTAAAAAGCTTTTTATGTTTCCATGTTTTACACATTTTTGAACTTTAGGCAAGGATAAGGAAGCTCATTTTTTAAGCTAATCACCTCTATCATCTATAGTGGTATCCCCATATATCAGTTTCTCAATATGTTACATATATGCATTTATAGTAGAACCATGAAAAAGGATACACACAAACAATAAAATTTTGTAAACATACCTCAGAAGCCTTAATTAGCTTTGTTTTCTGGGAAGGAGGGGCCAAAACCTTCTTGATTAAAGTTTCGGCAACCTGTGTTCATTTAGAAATTATTAATAGCCCTTTCCTATGTAGCAAATACTTAAACTGAAGAATGAAGACCTCTGTATCTCATATGTATCTCATATATGATTGAGAGATACAGGCGCTAAAGATATTATTGTAAACCTGTTCTGGGGACCCAAATTCTCGAATATCCTGTTTGCCTGTTGGTATCGCATTTACACTAACACTTTCTAATGGCTCAATGACATCTTTGAATACCTTGTCTTGACCTTCAATGACTACTTCCTGACAGCTTGCAAGAGGGAAAAACCGTTACTGACATGTGGTCTATGATTAATTGTGTATGAGAAAATAGCAATAACAAATAATAGTGCATCAGAAATTATAACAGCACAAAACATAAATTTATACTTCCCAACCAAATGGATAGGAAAATGAATATCCATCTTTCTTGTCTGTGACTGGCAGAAATCCCTTTATATTTTCTGCAGCAACTGAACCACATCAAAGGTATCCTCTTAGGATATTAGAAGAAACCATTCAAAGGAGCACTTTACATAACTAGCAGCCGCTTCTTCAGAAGAAAGTGCAAAAAGATACAGCAAGTGGTAGAAAAAGCAAAAATAATAATTAATTTTCTCTGTTTTTACTAAAAGAAGTAATTTTCTCTGCATACAAGCAAGGATTATTCTTACATGAGATTGGAGATTGGTTAACCATTGAAACTAAAGGAGCAGTGACCCCAACTGCAATCATCTGGCGTCTCCCACAACAATCTTGAAAAGAATAAGGCAAAATTTAATTGAAAATGAAAACAGATAGATTGTGCTCGCATCTTAGATCACAGATAAAAAATCAAGCCAAACAATATAATTGTAATCAATGTGGTAAGAATGCTCAAAATGAAACAAGTTCAATCCAAGAGCTAATCTTTCTGTCACATTGGAAGAATGTCTAGCACTTTTTAATTTTTCAGGGACTGAATAACAAGAAACCAACATAAACTGTACTTGACCCTAGAACCTAAAACATTCTAGGCCTCTACCACTGAACCAAGTCTTTATTGCCATTATTCCTAAGTTCCAATATTCAATCACATGGTTCATTACGACCTTCACTTCAGGTAACAATGTAGTTTACAAAACTGGTATCCTCAGAAAAAATTTGTCTTTTTAAGGTTTGAGAATTAACTAGGAGTTGAACAAAATGTCATAATTCCCTTGCCTACCAAATAAGCAAATTTGTAAAGAGCAACCACATATGCCAGCTAAACACTTAGAAAATCTCTCATTTCTCTACATAAAAAGTATTTCAAACAAAGCCATTCTCTCTTAATTTTTTTATTCTTTTCAATAGAAATAAACATTTCAGTGATTCATCACTGACAGCATCTTGTTCTGGAGAACCCTTCTAGGGAAAAAACAGAATCTTAAAAAGAAACACCCAGAAACATCCTCAGCATAAGTCAGCATTATCACTCTTTTTCCAATAACGTTGGATTGCACATTAAAAGTGAGATACCCAAAAACAAGAAACAAATGCAAACCAACAAAATTCACCTTGAACAGAAGTACTGGAAGCTAATGATGACGATTGCCCAGCCCGGATAAGAACTGGAATACTTCTTCTGCAGCAAGAAAAAGTATCCTGCTTTCTTAGTCCCACCTGTAACATCAAACCCGCACTTCCCACTTCATCACCAAGACAACGTAAAACAAAATGGACAACATGAATCTACAAGCATAACAAGATTGAGAAAGAACCTGGGAGAAAAAAGAGTTGAGGAACAATGTAGGATGAAGTGACGGAGAGTTTTGCAGCGACGCCATTGATTAGGAGCAGTAATGGCTTTGTGGTGAAGAGACTATCGTCTTTCCTGTGTTCGTTATCCGTTGAGTACGCGCCCGAGCATGCTCGCTAGCCCATAGTTGTCAGAGTGCTCCATGACGGGCCGTACGTGGGCTTCGGTTTCATTTTCATTTTGGGTTTTCTTTTTCGCCATGTTTTCATTTTGGGCTTTTCCTTTTTAATTGTGAATGTCAATTTTAGTCCCTTAACTTTTAAATTTGAATAAATTAGTCTTTCAATATTTTTGGTACTTTGTTCGTTCTTTAACTTTGAAAAATATATTTTTTATCGTTTTGTCTGTTATTTCGTTAATTTTGTCTAAATATAAACATTTTTAATTTCAAATTTATAACATATGTACATTTTTAGCCTTTATAATAAAAATGAAAATGTGTATATATAGATATATTTAATGGATTAATTGATAAAATGATTAAAAAAGTGACTAAAAATGAATATAAGTATAATAGATATA